TAAGTAGAAAAAGTTTGGACAAAGAGAGGTAGCCCTTTGTTCAAAAATTTAAAGTTTTCCTCTGGAAAAATAAAGTCAAGTGTTGATTAATGAAAACATTTGGCACTACAAGTCCTTGGTAAGAAACAGTGCTTTCAAACATTTTAGCTGCTAGAGAACCCTGTTTTTGAATAAAAGTATCATCTGATCCATGGAACAGTTGCAGGAGGAGATCTGCTTTGGTTGAGCAGTTTGCAGAGTAGAAAGGTACTTGATCAGAGAATTCTGTCTACCTGCTCTGCTTCCCTTCTATCCTGTTTTTAGTCCTAAGAACCCCTAAATATGATAATTAACTGAGAAACACAGCTTAAAATGTTTGAGTATATATAAATGCTTGTTTTCTTATGTTCTTATGCTCTTATGAGAGCAAACTTTCATAATAAAATTTTGTTTTAATGTATTATTGTTAATATTCATGTTCCTATGCATCGAAGTAAACATTGATACTATATACCTGGCTTTATTAAGATTTACTGAATGTTTGCTATATACTGGTCACCATATTTGCTTTATTCCATATGCCATTTAAATTCTCCAGTAGTCCTGGTGGTAAATTTTATTATCACTGCTTTACAGATTAAACAACTGAGGTGTACAATGATTACTTGATTCACTCCAGGTTACCAACCGGGGTGTGGCACCCCTGGGATTTCTAGGCAGGGTCACTTTGTACCACACTGTCAGATGAAGGGCTTCTGACAGTCTAGAAGTGGGTGAGTAAGGACTGCATGGGGATGAATGGCAGTAGGGATCTGGACGGGGAAGTAATACTGGGATTCCAGAGGGGTAGGGAAAGCTGCAGGGATGAGGTGGAGTTCAAGTTAAATCTTTGCCATACGGTTTTTCTAGTGACCCAGGGGTAGAAATGTGGTGATATTTTGGGTATTTTAACAATGACCAGAGGCATGAGGTCTAGTTCTCACTGTTTGCTTAAGCAGGTACATAAACCAGTGAGCTAATTGGCAGGCTCCCTAGTCCTCACTGTGTGGTTATGACTCTTGAATCTCATTCCTCCAGATTTTCGCATTACTATCAAGATGGTCTTCCTTAGATGCAAATATATTATCACTTCCAAACTTAATATTCTTTAGGACTCATGTTGTATATAGTCTGATTTAGTCAAGTCCTCACCAGAAAATGGTCTCTGGGAGACTGAGAGGATAAAAAAATATAAGATCATAATTTCACTCATATAAGAAATCTAAAAATGTTGATCTCATAGAAGTTGAGAATACATGAGAATAAATTACTGAGGCTAGGGAAGGATAGTGAAAGGTTGATCAGTGAATACTACATTAGAATTAAACAGGAGCAAGAAGTTTTAGTGTGCTATTGCATACAGGGTAATTGGAGATAATGGTAATGTACTGTGTATTTCCAAAAGCTAATTGAAGGGCTTTTCAATGTTTTTATTGTAAAGAAATGATAAAGATTTGAGGAAATATATTTAACCTGATTTTCATCACACCTGTCAGTGTCAGACAGTACTTTATTAACATGTATATTTTTATGTGTTTATGTATCATTTGAAAAATCAGTTTTGTTTTTAAAGAAAATGTCCCTAGAAAAAGCATAATCCCAGACTAAAATGTATGAGTCTAGAACACAAGAATAAAGAAAGCAAAACAACTAAAAATCAAATAAAAGGTGAAGTAGCTATGGAGGATAGGAGGAGAGATTTTTATACTTTTGAGTGGTATACCAAGATAAGAATGAAGAGAACTTTTGGACAGTGGCTCTGAGAAATCAGGAGGTCACTGGTAACTTTGGGGTTTCTAATATGGGCTGTTTTAAATTCTGTGCTAATAACTGGAAATTTAGAAAAAAAACCCTTCATTTTCTAGTAGTAATTTTTCTCAATTTATGAAGAGATAAAAATGTCATTATTCTTCTGAATATTTGGCAGGACTTTACAGAAATGTTAGTGTAGAAATTTGATGGTGGAGATCATTCGATCTGTAAATGTGAAAATACGTGCTGCTGAATGGAGTATCAAAAGCCAATACAGAATTGAATTGAGCAAGGAATTAATGGGGGAGGGATTAAGTGGCTATGTGCTTCAGAGGACTAATATTTTGAGAAAAGTGTATACTATTTGGTTTACCTCTCTTTAGGTGCCAGCTGGGACCAGGCCATTAGGTCAACCTTGTGTATCAGACCACTTCATACAGACCTTAAGTCATAAGCAGCTATTGGCTGAACTGGTGCAGTCTCATATGGTTAAGGACATATGTTTAATTGGAGGAAAGGTAAGAAAAGCAGCCTCATTGCCAAGTCTGCTTCCTGGTTTTGGGGTGTTTTGACTCATCCTTTAATGATTGAATGTATTTCCATTTGTAGGGTTGTGGAAAAACAGTCATTGCTAAGAACTTTGCTGATATCTTAGGATACAACATAGAGCCTATTATGCTATATCAGGTACAGTGTTCATTTTTTGCTCTTTGACTATAAGCATGAATGTTTTAGCATTATGACCTGTTGAATTGTGTTATGATCTATTGAACTTCATCAGCTAGGTTTTCTTTCTCTTTTTGGTGTGATATTGGAGATTAAACCTAGGGCTTTTGTGCTAAGCTACATCTTTTTCTTTCTTTTTTTCTTTCTTTCTTTCTTTCTTTCTTTCTTTCTTTCTTTCTTTCTTTCTTTCTTTTGAGACAGAATTTTACCAACTTGATAAGTTGCCCAGGCTGAGCACAAATCTGTGAATGTTTCTGTATCAGCCATGTGTTATTCCTTTCTTTCATTGTTTTGACTGTTTAAGATATCCTAAGATTGAGTCCATGTGAATTTTAGAACAGGCTTCACTAATTCTGTTAAAAAAAAAAGTAGTTGAGATTTTGAAACACATTGTATTCAGACTGTAGATTACTTTGAGAAATAGTATCATCTTACTAATATAAAGTTTTCCAATTAATAAATATGGTTGCCATTTCATTTACTTATGTCTTTTTAAATTTCTTTCAATAATATAGTATTTTGCAGTTTTAGTGTACAAGTTTATTTTCTCTTCAGTTATATTCCAAAGTAGTTTTGAATAGATTATTTTGGTGCATATACATATTGTAATACTTTGTTAAAACAACAAATTTAAAGCTAGTGTTACAAGGCTAAATTTTGTCAAATATTTTTATTTTGTTATTATCTTGCCTGACATATTTTATCTTGCAAATGTTTTCATGCTATGCCAATTTTTGGCTAGGTATGGTAGTTTCTCCCCCCACTTTTATTTGTATTTTTTAACGAGAATAAAAAACTAGTAAAAAAACATTAGAAACAATACATAATTTCACTAAACAAAATGATAGGAGTTCAACCATGGTTGTTATATTGCATATTGTTGTCTTCAAATTAGTTGTTCAGGTGCTTAAATGTGTGTAGAATTGACCAAAAATATTATAAAAAATTAAAAAGAGAAAAAAGTTGAGCAATAACTGCTCCTTTCAATAGACCAGCAGAGATGAGCAGTACCGTTTTCTAAGCTGTCCTGTCTATACACTTATGTATTTCTTTTTCCCTTCTTTCTGTTCTCCTTTCCCTCACCCCAATTGTTCCTCCTCTTTGAATAGTTTCTTTCTCTTTCAGAGTATCTGTTGTACCTTTACTTATAGCCCAGAATTTATTGTAATTCTTTGAATGGTTTTAAAAGTGAATATGATAGTGTCACTTACACTATAGGTCACCTGTTGTGTTTTTTATACTGAAACTAAATGAATATTGGTTAAAATGTTCTCATTTTTGAAAGATGACATTTAAACCAATTAGTTGTCACATTAGATCATAGGAAATTTTTCTAACTTCTCATATTTCCAATGATTCTGTTGAGATTTACTTCATGTGGTTTTAATGTATTCTGTACTTATTCATTGAATTAGCCAGAATTTGAAAAGAATTACTATTATATGGTTTTTGAAGCAGAATAACACATTATAGAGATACATAATAAGAATTAATCCTAAGAGTAATTTTTTTCTTTCTTTTTAGTTTATTCAGAGGACCAAGGTATTATTTAGGATTTTGACTGGCAGTGAAATCAGTATGGGAGGGGCCAGGGAGATGGCTCAGTGGAATAAACTTCCTGGCAAGCGCAAGGGCCTGAGTTCAATCCCCAGTTCCGCCAAATAAAGAAAAAAAAAAAGAAAGAAAGAAAGAAAAAAGAAACAAATCAGTGTGGGAAACAAATAAAAAGCATCATGTCACTTTATAAACCTGTGAGGGAATCCATATCTCTACTTTAGATAGTTATTTATTTATTTGCTTTGTTTTGTTTTTAGTGCTGAGGACTGAACCCAGGGCTTCCAGCTTGCTAGGGAAGCATTCTACTGCTGAGCCAAATCCTTAGCCCTTATACTTTTTACTGTCATATTTCAAAAAGATAGTAAAGTTGGATAGGTAAAGTGAAAGAGGCAAAAGTCATTAAAATAATTAGTTGGTTGAAAGACTTAAAAAGTCCAAATATCTGTTAAGGTGAAATGTATGAAGAACCCTTTACATGTCCAGATTTATGAAATCATGAAGAATGTGAATGAATGAAAATAAAGAGGTTTAAGCTAAGTTTACTCTGAGTGTTGAGAGATAAACGTTTAGGAAAATGAAAGTGTATTTTTATAGTCTGTTACAGGTGGCATGTCTTTGACCCTACAAAAAATGTTGCAATTACTCTTTATAAATTGATTCTAGGTCTCCTAGATTTTTAAATTAAGTAGGTGCATTTGGGGTATATATCTGTAACTAAATATATGGAAGATACCAGGAAAAATGCTTTGCCTTCTTACATAATCATGCTTCTTGACATCTTTGTCAAAGATCAGAAGATATTTGGCTTGATATGCTTGTTCTTCTGTCCATGTCACTCCATGGTTCATGTTAGAAATGATATGAGGATAGCGTTTTCTCACCTCTTTAATCTGTTCAGCATTGACCTTCTAATTTCCAATGAAAATGTTTTTCTACTAAACAACAGGGAAAAACTTTGAGTCATCAACATGTGCTGTAAAATAAGTTAAGATTATAAATCTTGAGACCCAGTCCTAGCCCAGGTCCGGTGAGTGTGTGGAGAGCTTCCTGCTAC